GAACTCAGCAACGAGTTACGGTGTCGATATATCACGATTACCGTGGTGACGTTACCACCCGCTACACAGCCAAGGGTGCAAGTTGGTGACAAGGCTGATGTAACATCCAAGACACGCCAGGCCTCCTAAATGACCTTGTGGAACGTACCTAGTCAGTGATCTCTGCCAGTTGAGGGTACCACTGGGTCATAGGGCAAATGTGAAATCCAAGAAGAGCAGTCTTGCCAACATCACATTTATAGTGGAACTATCGATTAAACAAGCTCGTATTTGCTGTTGCGAATACATTAATGATTAAGTTCTCATTCAATTATTATCTATAGTGGAAACTTATAACTAAAAATAAGTAATGCTGTCAATATGAACTGTGAATATGTCTTCATAATAGGTACTCACATTATAAAGGTCATTTAGGAGTATATATGAAAATCAAGATGATGTGGCCTTCTGTTTAGCCGCAGTCCCCTTTAGTTTTATAGTGTTCGTTTTACCTTGTTTTCGCAACTTTGCCGCAGCTTCAGAGAGACCTTGTGGAACGTACCTAGTCCCGTGTCCTCTGACAGTATTCGTGATTTCTAGCATTGGACCATTGGTTGAGTACATTCCCAAACGTTTCGCAGGCAACGTCAGTGGTGCCATCGTAAGTACAGAATTACAATTCATTACTTGTCACTTTGATAAGTTGTAACTCTGTGCTTACGATGGCGCCACTCACTGACGATGCCGGCAAAACGTTTGGGAATGTACTCAGCCAATGATCCATTGCTGGAAATCACGAATACTGTCAGAGGACACGGGACTAGGTACGTTCCACAAGGCAAAGTTGCGAAAACAAGGTCAAACACTATAAAACTAAAGGGGACTGCGGCTAAACAGAAGGCCACATCATCTTGATTTTCATATATACTCCTAAATGACCTTTATAATGTGAGTGCCTATTATGAAGACATATTCACAGTTCATATTGACAGCATTACTTATTTTTAGTTATAAGTAAGTTTCCACTATAGATAATAATTTAATGAGAACTTAATCATTAATGTATTCGCAACAGCAAATACGAGCTTGTTTAATCGATAGTTCCACTATAAATGTGATGTTGGCAAGACTGCTCTTCTTGGATTTCACATCGAAATTACAGTCAACCCTTATGGGAGTTAAGGCTAAATGAAATTCAATGGCATCGCGAGACCTTGTTTTACAACTCAACTATCAGTTTTTAAACCGCCTTAAGCCGCTTAGAGCGGCTAGGTTATAATTTGCAGAGTATGGTTTATGAAGTAAGATTGAAGTCGAGCCCATTCTAGCCTTAGAATCTAGTGAATTTCCTTTAAGTGTCGTTTACGATTTGAGTATGTCTGTAACATAACAGACGAGTGCTTAGCTTGGTTTCATAAGGGTCATAGGATGACAAGTTGAAAGTTCGGTAGTTCAAATCGACGATCACGCCTCCAAAGGGATCATGCTAGGGCCAATCTACGAAACCGCAATTTCTAAAATAAAATTAAGAACCCTAAAACGAGGAACCATTAAGAGATTATTTGAAACAAGCTTTACTTCACTGCTGCAGGTCTAGAATCAACAAGATAAACCAGGAGACGACGCAGGCAAACGATACAATTGGATAACTATTAAAAGAAAATTAACAAAGTGTGAAGTGAAAGTAAGTAAAAAAGAAGACGGTAAACAAATCTCATATATCTGATTTACTGGTAGTCTCGAAACCCTACTTACAAACGAAAATTAAGTAATGTAGTTGATTGTTATAGCAAATATAACTTTCTTCGTCGACAATCCCACCAAAGAATTTTGGTGTGAAAAAATGCCCGGACTTCCTTGAAATTCGAATTTGCCCTGTGACCCAAGGACAGTTATGATAGTGGCTTAGTGGCACTATACGCTGCACTATCATGGTTTGAGTAGCGCTGGGCGTGTTGATAAGACCTAGGCGAGGTCGAAACTGCAGTTCACTCTTGCCTGAAGAATGCCTTTGGGAAAGAAAGAACTTGTGTGACCACACAAAAGGCCGCACAATCTTGGTCTTCATACCTTCAAGTTTAAGGTAGCCTAGAAAATCATGAGGTGCCTCGTCAAAATGACAATGATAGGTTCGTAAAAAAGTGACTAGGGTTGCAGCCGGCCATCTTTTCTCTCGGTTTACTAAATTGGTGCAATGCCGCTCTGATGATGTTTTTCACGGACAGATAGACGAAATGTTAACACAGACTGATCGAGTTCACAGAACCGCGGGCTGAGGACTTCTTCCCACATTCAAATGGCCTTCACTTCATTGCAATCCTCCCTCGGCTTTCAGTAAGACGATTTCACAAATTCCTTCCAACCAACTCTTACAATCTATTAGGACCGATGTATGAATAAGGTCAAGCCAAGTAGATAAAATGGAAATTTGTTTACCCAAAAAATTTTTTCGACGAAATTGTTGAGCTCACTTTCATTAATATCGAGAGCGAATGAAGAATAGACGATAAAGGATTCGCCTTGCACATCTTCCGAATGTCTTACCAGTAACATTCTGATGGATGTTATCTACGATATTAAAATGTCATATGACAGCAATCATTATATAGGATTAGCATCCTTGCAAATAATTTAAGCTGATGAATAAAGAAAAGTAACAAACTTATGTGGTATATTCACATTATCTCGTTAGGGTGATTAAGGCCTGGTAGTTGAATAGAATGCTGTAATTAAAAGCGGACTGTTTAATTTTCCCATAAAGATAAGAATAGGTACCAGGATACCTGGATTCCCAAAAGATATTCTTACCCAGTATTGAGTTCACTTTCGATCTCATATCCAGCCCATCCTGGATGAGAATACTTTTAGGATACAGAAGTTTAGTGAAATGCAATGTAATCAAGGGGGATAATTATAACACTGTGAGAGCATTCAACTAACATCTTGTGCAATTGAGTATGGATACAACTCTTATTCCATATCAATTTGCAGTTCAACGGCCCATCTATGAGCAAATATTCGGCCTGCATATGAACTCACCACTCTCACCTTTGTTGGCCGTCTACATGGACAAGTTGGAGGAAAAGATCAAAAAGTCACCTGAGCATCGAACAGTAGTGATGCGATATTTGGATGACTATTTCGCACTCTGGTCTGATGGAAAAGAAATATGAGACGTGCTGATTATCTTTTAAAACAACATGGATGAAAAAATCAAATCTACCATGAGTATGGAAGAGAACGGAGTTAAAAGGAGACTTAGGAAACGGTTGTTCTGAAGGAAGTCGAATTAAGGAATAAAGATTAACGTTCAGCCTAAGCTTACTTATGTTATGAAGATTGGAAGAAACCTACAACTTACGGACTCTGGGTTGTGGGAAAAGGGACTAGAGACATTAATTCATATATTTATTGGAAACTGATAGCCTTGAGAGGCAAAACATCACAACATACGGATCGTCATGAGTAGATGGAAGGAAAGGGATTATGAATGAAAAGCATGGTTAACAGGAAAAACGATGGATATGTCCGGCCCACTGCGAATTGGATCGGGAGCTGCGATCGATAGTATGGAAATGTAAAATTCCCACAATCCTTAAGGAAAGAAAGCCTCTTCACCAGCATGCACACACAACATGAAGTAGTCAACAGCACAAACCCCAAGGACTGTAAACAAAAATATACCGGAGAGACGGGAAGGACAATCAGCACAAGAATCAAGGAACACCAGCGACAATGCAGAAAAATGGAAAGCTAAAGGTCGAATATAGCCGAACACATCGCCCTTACCGGTAACACAATTGAATTTAGTGTCCTTGGCTTAAATAGCCCTGAAAGCTTGAGACAGGAGTGTGCTTTATGAGCGTCAATAGAGGACAAAGGGGAGGGACGAAATTTCATAGCGGCGTCTACGAACTAAGCCGGACATAGGGCCCCAAAGAATGAGATGCGAAGTGGGTGGGGATGAGAAAAAAGATAACTGGGCGATAGATCTGAGACATATGGAGAGGAATATGCCTAGGCATGAGCATCATCGACTCTAAATCCTTGAATATGACGTAAACGTGGACGGGGATTGAAGAGCCATAGGCAGACTAAAAGATCTCAAGCTCTGTATTCAGCACCTGGAACTGCTAGTGAGTATGATTATGCATAAATAAATTCACTTGTGGCGACACGTTTTTGGGCGACATTTGAGGAAACGAGAGCACAGAATTGTGTGAATAGGCAAGTTGGCCATCCGAAATATGGCTGAGAAAGAGAAGCAAAACTAGAAAGTGGGACATAAATAGAGGCGAAGAGTGATGCCAGAAAGGTTGAA